GATTGGGTATTTTTTGCTTCCTTAAATTCCAAATACTGATTTAACTCTCAGCTTCATCTAGTCTATTGTTGATTCCCTGGAAATTATTCATTTCAGTTAGTGTATTCTTCATTTCTGACTGGTTCATTTTTATGGTTTCCATGTCATTTTTTATGGTTCCCATGTCCTTATTTATGCTATTGAATTCTAAGTTCAACTACTTCCTTACTAAGTTCATTGAGCATCCTTATAATCAGTGTTTGAACTCTCCATTTTGTTTAGTTCTTTTTCTAGAATTTTGTTCAATTCTTTTTCTAAAATTTTGTTCAATCCTTTTTCTAGAATTCTATTCTTTCCTCTGGGATGTGTTTCTTAGTCCCCTCTCTTGCAGCCTCCTGGTGTTTGTTTCTATGTATTAGGTGAAGCTGCTGTGTCTGCTGGGCTTGGTAGAGTGGCCTGATGTAGTAGTTGCCATATAGTATCCAGTGGCAGAGCCTCCTCGATCACCTGAGCTGGGCACTCCAGGTATGTCCCTTTCCCCAGGTGATCTGTGTACACCAAGCATGTCAAACTGATGGCCTGCAGGCTGCATGCTTTATTTGGCCAGTGTTAGCCTTTGAGTTTTACAGGCATGGTGTACACCTTCCTCTTGTAGATGAGCCTTGATTGATGTTGGCATGTAATGGGAGGGACTCACTCCCAGGCCAATCGGCTGCAATGACTGGCTTTGACCAGCCACCATGGAGGATCGCTTTGCAAAGGCCTACCACACAGAGCAGGATTTACTTCAGCAGCATTCTGGTGCCTGCTAATTCCATCTCTTGAGTGTGACACTGTGGAGGTGTTTGGGTGGTTCAACATGGTCTGAAACTTGTGCTGGCTCTGGGGCCTCCCAGGAGGTCCATGCCAAGGTCAGCTTCCACCTGTGTTCTGACCAGGGCCACCTGGCGTGAGCTACAAAGTGTTTTGCAGATGGCTGTTACTTGTGCTGGGCTTGGAGGCCTACCTACTAACCACAGCCATTGCTGCTAATGCTTGGCCTCGAGCCACTCAGCAAGAGATATGGGGCATACTTAGGTCAGATATGCTTGTTTGAAAATTTTAGAAAAGTATGAAGCATGAGCAAAGACAGATCATTTATATGGAAAAAAAAAAAAAAAAAAAGACACTGAAAATAGCTTCAGGGAGCCTGAAAGTTGTGTGTGTGTGTGTGTGTGTGGTAGTGGGGTGAAGATAGGGGGAATCTCAGGAAATCACCAGGGAAGTGCAAACAAACAGCAATAGCCAGGTTGATGGAAACTCAGATGTGTCGCCCACCTGCTGAGAGGGAGGGCTTATCAAAGGAACTATGGCCTCCGTTTACACTTCTGTCTGGAAGAAAGCTGCTCTACTGCCCCCTGCTCTCATCCTGATGCCTGGCAATGCAATTCCTCCTTGTATGTACCTGGTGCCTTTTGAGCTGCTACACAAGCACTGGAGCTCAGAGGAAATGAGTTAAAGTAAGTCTATATGTGGGCCCTTTAAGAGGCACTGTCTGGGACTCCAGCAACCCTCTGTCTCACTCAGCCTCAATCCCTACTAGTTTTTACAGCCAGAAATTATGGGGATTTCTCTTCTCAGCACTGGAACCCTGGGCTTGGAAGCCTAATGTGAGACTGATACCACTCACTCCTCAGAGAGGACCTCTGCAGGAGATATATCCCTCCTGTTTTTTATCTGCCACATGTGGATGTGGGACCAATCTGTTCCATATCTCTGCCCCTTATACCAGTCTCAATGTGGCTTTTTTTTTTTAATCCCTAATTATAGGACTTCTATTTATCTAGAAATCACTTGGTTCAGATAATCTCAGGTGGTTCTTAATGATGGATGTTCTGCAATTTAGTTGTAATTTTGATATGGTTATAAGAGGGTGTGAGTACTGTGTGTATCTACCCTGCCATCTTGACTAGAAGTCTAGCTTGGTAATTTTTAAAGTTTAATTTTATATTTTACTCCTCTTACTCCTACTTTAATATTGAGAAAATGAATATTTCTTCTGAACACAACTGTAGTCATTATAAATTAAGGTACTGTGGTGCAATCACAAAGTAATAAACAGGTCTCTATAACTTTTTTTTAATCTTCCCCCAAGGATATTTTTCCCATTGATTTTTTAGAGAGAGTGATAGAGAGGGCGGGAGAAACATCAATGTGAGAGAGATACATAAATTGGTTGCCTCCCGCACACACCTTGACTGGTGCCAGAGAATGAATCTGCAACTCAGATACATGCCTTTGACCTGAAATTGAACACACGAATCTTTGGTTCATGGGCAGACATTCTACCAATGAGCAACACCGGCCAGGACTAGCTTAACTTTTCTAATTATTTTCTAGCCTGTAGGTGTGGGAAAATTAAAACTTTGAGCAAATTTATTTCAATTTCTACCTTACTTCTTTATTTCTATGTCTTCCCAGTAACCTATTAAAAACAATCCCTTTTTTTTTTTTTTTTAGTTTGATTCTAATATTGACTCCGCCCATTTTCCAACTCTATATCCCAATAACATCCCAACCCATATATCATTATATCATGAAACTCTTCATGGATTTTTTTCATTTGCTCACCAAGACATCCTCCACCTTAGTAAAAAGATCACACCGATTTCTCTAATACTTTATCATCATTTGCTCAAGATAAGGATTTACTGTGTTTGTTTCCCACAGTTCCTCCACCCAATCTTATCTCTGGATTTTCACTGATTAGTACTTCTGGCTGGCCTGTGTTAGCTCATGTAGCTCCTCCTTCTGTACTGGGGCAAAAACTTGTATCACCATTGTAAAGGATGTCATTACTCTTTATCTGTGAAGAGTAGAACAAGAAGAAATCACTGGTTCAGATAATCTCAGGATTTCAAAAGGATTAGAGATCACTTCTCATTACTATAGCACTTATGTCAGAGAGCATCCAGACAAAAGGTAAGTTATAACTATTCTTTCAAATAGTTTGCTAGTGTTTTATAAATCTAAACTTCCAAATAGATATGTTTTGGCTAGAAATTCACAATTACATTTATTTATAATTAAGAAATTTATTTGGTTTGATTTTAATAAAAAAAATAGTGAAAATAGCTAACAAAAAAAGGCTGTCTTTTCAAAACATTTTATAAGCTAACTTCTAAAATAACTTCCTACTTAGTTCTTTTCTTGAGAATTACAGAGCCATTATATTGACATAGAAATACTGTTTGTGTGTGTATTGGTTTATGTGTATGAACATATGTTAAGGCATGTTTCCGTTTGACTAATATATGTTTATATATTGTTTCAACAATATTTGTACTTCATGAACTTTTTTAGAGCTGAATCATTTCCTTTTTATAAAAAAAAAAACCACCTAAGAACAAGGCAAAAAGCATTTCCCTTTAAATATTTAAACTACTCATTCTAAAAATAGTCTATTAAAAATTATTTCTACCCCACCCAATTGCCTAAACTAAGAAATAAGACTAACAACTTAGAGATATTATTAATGCTTTAATTTCTATTTAGAAAAGACTATCATAATTTCAATGTAATCTTGTTATTGCCTAGGAGATTATTACTGTATAAATTTGGTTTTCATTTAATTAATTTAAGATTTTTAGGTTTAATCTATAATTTTCTGAAACTTTTTTTATTTTCAAAGCCTTAGTATTTTCAACATTTATCTTTCATAATTAAATCTACTAGTAATGACAAATAAAAGAAACAAACAAATGTTTTATGTCATAAAGTTCATTGGAGTATCATATTGCTTTAAAGAAAAGCCAGTAAGTATATATCAGATTTACTTTATGCAGAATATTTCATAAGTGCCCAAATTTTTTCCAAATCCAAAATATCAAATACTGCATCAGGACATGAAAGTTAAGATTCTAGATATATGATTTCTTTGTATTTGTGTCTAACTTTTCCTTTATCAAAACTGGTTTAGAGCTGTTTCACTTTTTTCTTCTCTTTCAGAAACATGGTTAATGAAGTTGAAATAAGTATGGCAATTGAAAAATGTCTAAGGCAGTGTGTCTGATGGAACTTCTATGAGGAAGCAATGTTCGATTATTTGTGCTGTCTAATTTGGTAGCCATAAGCCACACACAGCTATTGAACACCTGAAATGTTCAATACAGCAACTGAACTAAATTAGTAATTTTAGATAATTTTAACTAATTTTAATTTTCATAACTAAATTTATTTTAATTTTTTACGTATTACTAGTGGCTACTATACTGAACAGTACATGTTTATGGTATTGAAATTATTAAATATTTTCATTTACAAATACTTTTGAAATGGAGAAAAGTGGTTTCTTTAACAATAGCTATAAACATAAATTGTAGACTTCTGAGCTTAATAAGAATGACTCTTGTCCTAATATGAATCCTCTTTTTACTACCAAAAAAATTAATAATAAAGTCCTGTTTTTCACATGGCACAATATATCATCTCTTAAATTTCTATAATCCCCACCTAAAAGGAAAAAAACACCACACTGATACAGACTGCCCTAAAAAGACAATCAGGCAGTCATTAATTATAAATATATGTGTGAATTATATACAAATTTATAATAAGTAAATAAATATAAAAATTTATGTGAATTAAATAAGTGAATGTATATTCTTTATAAGCAAAGAAATAAATGATGTAGTGAGGAAAGAAAAAGAATGCTGTAGAATTTAGTGCATTTTTCTTCAAATTGGCCAGAGAAAAGTCTGTGCAAAGAATTAAACTGCAGCTGTCAAAAAAGTGAGAATTAGAAGTAATTTTAAAAGATTTATTCCAGGCATAATGTGAAGCCTGGAAAGATAAACCAGGATAGTTATATGTTTAGTTGACAAACTTCAGTTTCCTGAGAAGACAGTGAATTGATCTGAGTAGTATGAAAATAAGGAATAACGAGAATTTTAGAAATGAATGAATCTTCATTCTATTCTTATTTTTAAGTCTTTAGGTGATTCTTTTAAGGATATAATTGAAAATGAAAAGGATTTTTAAACCTGGTTGTTTTGAAGTCTCTCAGAGCTGTAGAGATGTATTCAGATAAATGTTTTTCCATGAGTGCAACTCTGATCCAGGCTCTACCCTAAAAGGAAGAAGAAAGAATCAAACATGGGGGTAAAATTGAAATTAAAAAGCTCAATATAAGCATTTTAATATGTAAAGAACAGCCCATGCAAAATATATATTTGGTAAAGACTAAAAAAATTTAAGTAGATAATAGGTAAACTTTTATTATGCATAGTATATAGTTTGTTTTTCTGAAGGTATAGGGTTAAGCATGTCAGATTAACATCCTATCCTCTGAAGAAACAGAACCATTAATACTGAGTTATTTGGATTAGAGACTTTTTAAAATCATAGAATGTAAGTAATAGACTTACATTCTATTTCTATACTCAAATCAACATGCTAAATAAAATGACTCCCCTTAAAAAACACAAGAGTGTATTCTCTTTAGTAAAAAATACTTTCATACAGCTTGTTTAAGAAAACTTCTCACCTATTCTTCCAGAGGGAAGGTTTAGACAACTAATAATGAATCAAATTTCATTATCATGCATCCTAATCTTGAGTTTCTGAATTTGATAGACCATAACATTATAAAAACCTGTTACCAAATTTTTAGACCTGAAAGAACAATCACACAACAAAAATATCCCAGAAACGTATTCTAGCACAAAATCACAGAAACAGATAATTATGACTAAATGTGATAATTTATTTTTACTTAGAAAAGGGATAACATCATTCAATAGTTGGAACTAACCAATTAATTTTTTTTTATAATCCAAAGAGACTATTTAAAAAAAGAGAGAGAGAGATTGTACTTATAGTGAGAACTTTAAAATTCAATTACTTTTGTTTTTACTCAGCCTTTTCACCAATCTCCAGAAAGTCCAGCAAGATCGACTATATAGAAAACCAAAACAGTGCAATGACAGGTGAGAATCAAGGTGACTCTCATTGATATATATCATGGTTGACTACCAGTATGGAGGGGGGGAAAGCACTCTTTAGAAATTACTCCAACTCTGGTAAATTCACCAGGCTCTTAGATAGGAGGGATAAGAAAGGAGTCAAATCTAGACAGTGACAAAACAGGCGTGAAGCAGCAGTGTTGTCTAAGCTCAAAACCCTTTTAGCTTTGCCCAGGGCTCACTCCCTTGTTCTTGCTGAGTAAGCCAAGGGGAGCCTACACTTCACTATGGCTGAATGGAACAGCAGGAGGAAGAGGCAAACCACTGGCGAGCAGTCTCAAGATTCTTGAAATTTCATTTAAAAGACACGGAGTCTAGTAGGGGTAGCTTGAGTCAAAAGGCCAATATTTCACCAAAACAGAAGCAAGGAAAAAAGTTGCTCTCCAGAGAAAGTTAGTTCTTATCTATTGCTAGATAAGAAACATGGGAAAAGTCCTGCTTCCTCATTTATTAATTTCAATCCATACAATCCATAGGGCCACACCTAGTTTCCAGTCCTTGGATGTTTGTGGGATTCTGTTATTGTGATAATAAACTGGGATAATTTTTAAACTATTTTTATTGATTTATAGAGAAAGAGGAAGAGAGAGAGAAAAACACTGATGTGAGAGCAAAACATCAATTAGCTGCCTCTACTGGCCCCCTACCGAGGATCGAGCCTGCAACCTGGGCGTGTGTGTGTGTGTGTGTGTGTGTGTGTGTGTGTGTGTGTGTAAAAGGTGAAGGGATTAAGAAGCATAAATTGGTAGTTACAAAATGGTCATGGGTGTAATGTTTAGCATAGGAAATATAGCCAATAACACAGTAATAACTATATATGGTACCAGATGGGTATTAGATTTATTGGGGTGACCCTTTCACAAGTTATATAAATCACTGAGTTGTACAGCTGAAACTAATAAAATATTGTATGTCAACTGTAAAAGAAAAAAAAAGAAAGGAAGGAAGTCCCCTGGTCCTGGGAAAACTGATGGTTGATTACCGTAATATAAACCAAAGGAGTACAGACACTGAATCAAAAGAGTATGTATTTCTTTAACGTTAGCAGATAAGGCCAAATCATTTTTCCAAATTGCTTTCTACCAATTTACAGGTGATAGGGTTCAGAACATGCTACCTCAACATGTGAATCTTAAGCTGAAAAAGTTTGAGGTCACTCTGATCTACCCCTGCCCCACCCTTGTTCCCTCAAAGCAAGAGAGAGATCTCCTGAAAGGTCACTTCCCTGTGCCAGGGAAAGGGAGGCCCCTCATCACCACAGTCAGAGAAGGCTGCATAACCAAACCTTCTACTTCTTCACCATTTTCTTTCCTCAGCCTGAATCCCTCTGCCTTGCTATTTCTTCACAAATTTGTGTTTCTTTGTTAGTTTTGTGAGTGATATTTTTTTTCCAGATAATTTGCCCATTTCCCCTAAATTTTCAAATGTATAGGTGTGAAGTTATTCATAACATTTTCCTTTAGATGTTTAATGGATGTAGGGCCTCTGGTGTTGGGCTCTTCTTCATTCCTGATACTGATAATTTACAATCTCTTTTTCTTCTTTAATAGTCTTGCTAAAAGCTTATCAATTGTATTAATCTCTTAAAAAACATCAACTTTAGGCATTGTTGATTTTCTTCTGGTGTGCATTTGTTTCCAATTATCTGAATTTTCGCTCTTCGTTATTTCTTTCCTTCTACCTTGATTTTATTACTTTTTAAAAAAAGGTTTCTTGAGATGAAAGCTTTGATCACTAATTTTCAGCCTTTTTTCTTTTGTTTAATAATGCATAAGTCTACTTAAGCATACCTATTTTCCTTTAAGTACAAATTTTTATGTGTTGTGTTTTATATTACTTTACAAGCCTTTATTGTGGCTCTTGGGAAAAGAGTTCCTCTGATACAAGCTACTCTGTTTTCACTGGAAGTAGAAATTAATTCATTTCTTACCTCCATGATCATCTTTTTAGGCTCCAAACCCTTCTAACTTGACTCTCTGTCCCTACGCACCTTTCTATGCATTGTTCATACTGTAACCACTTGATCATTTAAAATGTAACCAGATTACATTACTCTACTGCTTAAAAAAAAAAAAGTAAAAAAAGAAACCCTCAAGTAGCTCCAAAATGTATTAAGAATTAAGAATTATATCTAAACTCTTTATCATGACCATATCTTCTATTCTACACCTTGCTTCTTCAGCTTACAATTTGCACAGCACATTTCTTCCCATAATTTACATTCTGATTCAACTACTGCTTCACAGAATCCTTCCTGATCTCTTCCACTACGCCTATCACTTTCTAACGTCCCCTGAGATATTATGTATATATTTGATTACTATATTACTAAAATGGAATATGTGTGTAATATTTGCTCTTTGCCATCTTTTCACCGCTGCCACTCTATCCTCAACATTTACCACAGTTTTGGGCACACAGGAGATATTCAGTTTATACTTGTTAAATAACTGAATCAAACTAAAGAGGTAAATAACTTACTCATAGCTACTAGGCACTGGAGCTACCAGTTAGAAGTGGAGGAAGGGAATGATGTGAAAAATACAGAATTTTGGAAAGATTCATATGAAGTTAAAATGGATAGAGTGTAAAACAAATGGACAGAATCAGAATTCATCTGCTGAGAAACTTTTTAAAGCTCCCCAAGAATTTCTGAAGTATTTCAGATTTGAGGCCATCACAATAAAGAACTGTCATAAAAATGTTCAGAAAAATGGCCTCTTTGCAATACTTTACCTTACTGTAAAGTTATGGTATTTGATAACTCTGGTATATCTGATTAATGCCCCTTCTTCCTCTGTCAGGAGAACATATGGCTAATCTGCCTCTGGGACAGAACAGTGACAAGCCAGCTTCTGAGCAGATAGGAAATATGGCCAAGCTGAGATGCAGTTATTTTTCTGAGACTACTAATTCTAGTCCGAAACCTAAAAAAATTGATGTATAGAAATCATATGCTCCAAAATCCCTGCATACTGTAGAAAAAAACAGATGCAAATATACCTGATATGGAAAAAATATATACATGATCTTCAATTCAAATATTTTATTCCATTGTTAGGCTATGTGTAGGCCCTAGAAAATAGGTCCAACAAGTCACAGACTAAGCAAAGAAAGGGAAAGGTCTTCATTTCATAGATTTTAGCTTAGAGTGACCAGGTATCAGGTTTTCCCAGGGTGGCAGTTTCTACAATGTGAATCTAAATTATGCAGTGGTACTAGATCACAGACAATCCGGATTCAATCAGCTCAACCACATTTAAAGAATGTTTCTGTTTCCCCATTAAATGGAACCTGTTTGAGGTCTGATCAAAACAAAGGCATAAATGCAGGATTTGGCACATGATTGTCCTGTGGTGTTTTGATACTCAACACCATTTTTGGTGTTTTGTGTGTTTCTTTAAAAAATAAATATTAACGTTCTCCGCCGAGAGGTGGTGAGCTAGGGTTTGGGTTTCCTTGGTCCACCCATGTCCAAATGTGACATTTCTAATGTTTGCTAGCTTTTCAATTACCTTTTGTACTTTGAGGTATGCTAATTCTATAAATATATCCTCTTCTGTGTTGAAAGAGTTTAGAATACACTGGTCATGTTAATCTCTCCTACTTTTAGTTTGAAAATAAGAAAATAAAGTTTATGTAGCACCTGGTTTACTTTCAATTTTCATAGACTTTATCCATTCCACTTACAGCTAATCTTAACGTGCAGAAACCAAGATATTACTCTTAAACCATAAAGAAAACTAATACAAACTCAATTAAAATGCAAAGGAGAATTCAAATTGTACATTTTTAAAACCTATAAACAGACATTTAGAAAGTAAATAAAAGAATAAATTCAATAGTTCAAAAAATGACGGCCAAAGGACTAATAAGACAATTGTGACTAAAAAGAAACTTGTTAATATAAGATAAAACATCTATGAGAAAGGGGTTTTAATTTAAAAATGTAGTTATAACTGACTTTAAAAGGAAGATATTTATTGACCTAAAAAATATCAGAGGCAGAAAAAAATGATTTAATATAAAAGAGTTTGAAGACACTGAAGCAGAAAGTTAACTGTTGCTCAGACTACTCTGACTGGACACTGGCAGGAGGCGGTGC